ATGCGCAATTTTGTTCGTTACCTTGGAAACTCCAGGGAAAAGTAGCTTTTCCATACAGTGCTAGCCAAATGGAGCAGCCAGGTGACCGAGAGCTTACCGTTCGGATAGTTTTACTTCAAACTGCGGTAATGACGTTCATCAGCGCCTTAACCAAATCCGCTCACTCCAAGATTCGGACGCAACCCGTTTTGCATGCAGTCATTTCCATCCAGCTGACTTTGCAAACGTGTTTTTTTTTTTTTTTTTTTTTTTTAGTATGCGCAGTGGGCAGCGCTCGACAGTTTGGCTGTCTAATCTGGCCTGAACTGATCAAGCCTCCCTCGAGCAGGATAAAGTCTCCACACTCAGCGGGTTGCTTCATCAACTCGCCGAGGTCCTCATTTGGAGGCGAGAGAAGCGAGCAGTTTCGGGTGACTTCTCAAGCATGTTTGCGTTCGGGGATGCTGCCCTCGCTTCATTCGCCCACTGAAGCCAGACTATCAGTCACAGGCAGCTGTAGTAGCGTGTGGACTTCTTGTCTTGCTGCTTATTATCGTGTTTGTGGGCAACCCACTGTGTGTGGTTTGTGAGACACGCTCCCCTCCACAAGTATTGGAACAGTGAGGCCGATTCATTTACTTTTGCCATCGACTAAAAAACAAGAACAACATGTGCGTTCAACACCAAGTAAAAAGAAGCCAAAAGGCTATAGCACAGGTGTCAAACTGAAGGCCCGGGGGCCAGATCTGGCCCGCCATATCATTTTATGTGGCCGGCGAAAGCAAATCCAAGATGGTAACTTTCATGACGCTTGCTAAAATCTCGACCAAAATTTAAAATTCTCATTTGTAATAGATAAAGAGTGATACTGTCAGCATTTTCTTGTTACCAAACCTATCATTACAGTAACTTCACCCTGTATATCAAAAAAACAAAAAGCACAGAAATGGCGTAAGGCTCCAATGCAGAAGATATATTGCACAAAAAAAATATCAATAAAAATGTCTTGCGCTTAATTGTAATTTACAACTTGATTACGAAACCTCTTTGCATGTTTGGGAGTCACCGTGAGAGCCGCTCCCCCGCATCAGCTTTTTATTGCGGTATCAATAGTTTATTTTCCACATTGCGACATTGAGAAGTGGCTTCATAATTCATGCTCGCACTGACCTGCTGACAAAAAAAAAAAAAAAAAGAACAGAGCAGCGCGAGTGAGATCAAAAGAACGCACGCCAACACAACACCGCTTCGAAAATGTCGCCCTTTCCTAACGAGTGGATGTGATCACGTCGTCGACAAAAGTCTCCAATGTTCCACTCAGCTGTTATTAAAGTGCACAAGGAAGCGTGTTGCTGCGCTGGTGTTCATTTTCAGAGCGATAATTATGTGATTATACTTTCACTGTCAGCGAGTGCAATCTTGTGCCCTTGAATGTGAGCATTTGATTCGAGTTTCAACCTCTTAGACGATGTCGCCCCGCCCCGGAGTATCATTGATGTTCACATTCTTTAAAATGGCGTTTACTGCAATGTTAACGTTCCTACAGGCTGTATATGTCTTCGCATTACCCCACAGGATGATCTTTGGATCTCCTGTTTTGGTGTTTAATGTGTTCGGGTAATCACTTAGTTTAATCATAATCACATCAAAACTTCAAAAATTTAATTAAACAAAGCTGGCTTGCGTTAACTACGGGTCAATACAGGATTGATCTTGTCAAAGTCTGTCCAGGCTCGATAATTGATATTCCAGCACTTCACCTTTTGTCAATATGGTCTGCGGTTTTATAGCTGGATCTTGCGCAATTGTCTTCTGAGGGGAAATAATCCCTGTGGATCCCGAGCTTCTCCAACTTTTTATACCTCGTACGAGGAACAAAGTTAAAGGGCTTTATTTCGTCGATAGACGCACATACGCTCTGTGTCAAAAACTGACGTATCTTAATTTTTATGCCGAGGCAAGTCGAGTTTACCGTGTTTGGGAATTTGGCAGACCGTGCTGCGCCTCCCTGGGCGTTTGCTATCACAAGCCCCTGGCGCATCTGACAATCTAGTGACAGAAAATAGACTCGACATTTGATACGGAACCCCCAGTTGCTCCTGTTGGTGCATCATCAGTAGGTGAATGAGGTAACAGTGTCAAGCGCATTGAGTACTCGAGGTAGAAAAGTGCTATATAAGGGACCGTCCATTGCCCATTTCCCAAATAAAAGCAGGTCTAAGTTGTGGCGCAGATGGTGTCACGCCATTTTAGCGTATGTGATCGAGTCGCTGGCAGGCAGATTCTGAGCTCCGTGGAAGTTTGCGGTGGATGTCATTCGATCCGTCCAGATTGTTGTTGAAATCAATTCATTGAAAGAATTTTTCTTGTTATCATTTTAAATATATTCTTAAAGCACCCCGCTGACTGTGGCACAACTACGTTTTTGGGGTTCCTCCGACCAGCACACCTGATTCAAATGATCAGCTCATCAGCAAGAACCCGACGCAGGATATCCTGATCATTTGAATTCGGTCTGTTGGAGGAGGGAAACAACTAAACATGCAGGATACCAGCCAGACGGAACTTTGAGGACCGGAGTTGCTGACCACTGCTCTAGAGGGATGCGATTCGGATCTATTTTTGGAACAATAAGTAGTCTGCAGTTAAGGATGTGTAAAATCAATTTGTGTATTGCTATTGTCTCATCCTATTCAAGGATGTTTCCCCATCGACTCTGGTTAGCAGTACTCGTTCATTGCAAAAGATATTGTCCAGGTGTGACGGGATGTGCAGCCGAGTTCGCCGACGTGCCGATATCCAACACGCGTGGCCCTGATAAATATTTGTCTTAATATTCCCGTCATCAATGCCCGCCCTGATTGCTCTCGTGGTATCATCCGTCTGTTTAATTTCACTTGCCAAACGCGACGACACTTTTATTGATGAGCCAACTCCATTCAAGGCAACGGCTGATAAGAGCGGATCAGTGGCGACCTGGGAGTTGTCATGAATTTTAACCGTCGTTGCTTTCATTTGTCACAAGGGCTTCATATTTGACTAAGAGAAGCGAGACCCCCACAGCCCGCCGCTACCCCTTCTTCCTCAACAAAACACCCCCCCCCCACACACACCCACCGTTTGCTTTATTGATAACCGTACGTCGCTCATTCTTCTCCCCGTGCAACACCTTCATTTGGCGCGAGTCATCTCTCCAGCCTAATCCCTTTAAACCTCTATTAAGCCGCTATTCATTCCTGCATAATGACTGCAGTCGTCCCAGTCCAGTTTACCTCCAAGGTTTAAGCTTTTACAAAGGATTAGAGAGCGCACAATCTATTTGCTTGCTCTTGGATGTTGAGTAATCCGGCGGATATGTTGATGATACCGCACTTGAATGGGTGGCGCAGTCACAGGGTCGCCCACATGACAATATGACACCTTTTGTTGCAAGGCAAAGGTGGAGGGGAGGAGGGGGGGTGCTTATAAATAAGACACAGGCGTCATGCCTGTTGTGTGATTTCACAATGTCGTGTGTGTCGAGCGGCTTCAAACACCTGCTTCTCTCGCAAACATCTACAAAGTGAATAATGCATCGAGGCGCGGATGTGTTTAACATCCCTCACCCCACCCCCCACCCCTTGAAAGTTTCCGCATATGACGCATGCGAGTGACATTTGGCTGAATTGGGCCCAAATGAATGCAGAAAAATAACCGACACACTGAGGACGGCGCGGGAGGGGGTTCAAACGATTCGTCCTCGCGTGTGACTTTTTTTTTTTTTTTTTTTTTCCAATGAGTGTGCCTTGTCCATGAGGGAGCAACACTGGGAGGATGTAAAGGGCATTTTATTGGAACTGGGTTCCTACTGTTTTTGATGTGTCACTCCAAGCTTGGAAAGGATCCAGGCTTGAGATTTCATTGCTTGAAATCGAACCATTTCTTGAGCTTGTGTTTTTTTTATGTGATATAAATAATTCTACTTCTGATTTATACATTCCCAAACCCGCTGGGTTAAAAGTAACGAAAATTGAGTGAAATAGTTAACCCAGGGCAAGGCCCAAAAGGGGCCGCGTCAATGCTGAATTATTTACACCCGGCGCATTGGGTTGAGGATTGGACCCAGGATGTTGGGGCAAGATTTTCTACACCAGATGACTTTCCTGATGCGAGCCAGTAATTTCAATCCAGGTTTGGAATTGGTGTATGGCCCAAAGCGACTGCAAACGCATTGCTTGAGACATACATTTAAAATCTATATGCATGCATGCTATTTTTGGGAATGAATAAATAAAGACTGGCGTCAAGTGCCTCGATACTTTCCAGAGATGATTTCTGTAAAAGTTGAGCTTGGATAAGTAAATAAAAAGAGTTAGCGGCTTATTTCATTACACAATGAGTCATTGGTCTCGAGAGGGACATCACACACCCTCCAAACAGTCGTAACACTTGATAATCAGAAAGAAGAAGAAGAAAAAAAAAAGCAACACAATGGAAGCTAACCCAGGAGAGCGATGCCATCAGCAGATTTTTATGATTGCTCGGTGCGAGACGCGTCGCCGCTCGAGAGACGTTAATTTGTACGAAAAGGTGAAGGGCAGCGCGTCGACGCACTGCCTCCCGCGTTACTCTTCAGGCTCGCTAACGACTCGCGGAGGGAAAGCAAACTCTTTCTCAAGTTCACCGTGTTCAAAATCGCACCTACTTTTGAAGCCCGTTCCTCCGGCCGCGCTGACAAAGAAATGTCCGCGCTTTGCCATTTTTTTTCCACATTAACGCCGTAAGTAATGAACAAGGGAACGGACAGCTTTACGTGGCTATAAAGTAAAGGCTTGTGCATCCCGTGACAGGTTTTATGATGCCCTACTAGAAAAGATGTCCCTGATATTTACGAGGCCTACTGTCTGGGCCCGTTGAATGATCACGCCGTGGCGCCGGCAACATGAATATATGACATTGAAGCGTGTCTATTTTGATTTCAGAAGAATAGCTTCAAAGTGGGAATCCATGCAAATGTAAATATGTGTGCTGTGTTGTCCTAGGTCATCCTCATGTTGACCAAATACTACGATTTCAGCTCGGGCAGAGTGACGGAGAGTTCTTTGTGGAGGTAAGATCCGAAAATGGGTTTTAGAAAGAGAAGCATTGGGAAATGCGTCGCTCTTAAAACTGAGTAGAGTTAGAAGTAACCCAATTTGGGTGAAATGGCGGTTGAGGTTTGGACCCGGCACGTCAGGTCAAGACTTTGTTCCAACAAGGGGTAAAAACAACCCATGCTGATGAGCTAAAGTTACCAAGAAATGGTTGTCAGCACAGTCGGCCGCCACGTGCTCGTGGTCCACTACCTACCGATTGAGGTTATAATTGTTTTGGATTTTTTTTTTTTCATTGCAGTTATTATTTTATTTTGTTTGGATTCTTGTTGTATCATTTCAGTTAGTTTATTTTAGTTTTTAGAACTTTTTTTTTTTTTTTTTTTTTGCAAAAGGGCTTCATTTCCATTTAGCTTTTATTAGTTTTAGTATTAGTTTTAGTTTTAGTTTTTTTTTTTTTTTTTTTTTTTTTAAATATGGAGTTGTGCAGATGTACAGCAATATCAAAATAAAACAGCCAAAAGCTCTTGTATGATTTGAATTGACAAAGACAAAAGCGAAGGACATTTTCATCATAATTCGTGACTTTTAGTTAGTTTTATAAACATAAAGTGTCGTCTCAGATAGTTTCGTTTCTTGAAAAGCATTTTTTTGCTTTTTGTTGACTTTGTTCATGCAAATGCTTTTCTTTTCATTGTACTTTCCGTTATTTCAATAACTGTCATTAATTGTAATAACCTTGCTGCGGATTCGCATTTTAGCTTTTTTTTTTTTCAATTTCTTTAATTTTTTTAAAGAATATTTAAAAACATTTTTCAGTGTGTATGTGTAGCTTTTAAAGTCAAGTACAAAAAATGTGGCCACCAAGCCTCAACGGCAATAATAATAGTAATAAACACGAGAACTCATCCCCTCACTATGCATGCTACACGGAATATTCTTGTTTATTTTGATAATTAGAGAAATATCCATTCATCTAGCAAATTGCTTGCCGAATTCTGCTGTTGCAATTTTCCGCCTGCCTGACACGCTTAATGATAGCATCAGCATCCGAACCGCTAGGTGTTGCTCCGCTCTCTCCCCTTCATCGTATCCTCCTAATTGAATTTTAGATCCACCGATTACGGCAGCACGTACGAGAAACTTAATGAGAAAGCGGGGCCCAAGACCATCCTGAGCTACTTGTACGTCAGTCCCAACAACAAGCGCAAGGTAAGTTTTGCCGCTCTGCGGGAAGAGAGAATAGACCCCAAAAAAAAAATCCCGCCTGTCAGGGCTCATCATCACCGCGCGCGAGCTGCTATCATTTTCACTGCAAAACAGCCCCGCGGGAGGCTGCGGCATGAGTGTGTGTATATGAGCGAGTGAGAACAGCACACTGCGTGAGCACAACCGAGCCCTCCGGCGCGGTTGCTGTCAGGTTGGGCCGCTGATCCCCCGCCGTCGTCTTTCTCCTCTCATTTCAGATCATGCTACTGACCGACCCGGAGGTGGAGAGCAGCCTGCTCATTAGCCTTGACGAGGGGGCGTCCTATCAGAAACACAGCTTAGCCTTTGATATCCTCAGTCTTCTTTTTCACCCCGAGCAGGAGGACTGGATCCTGGCTTACAGCCACGACCAAAAGGTAACACCCAAAGCTGTCAGATGCCGTCGAAACGGCAAAGGGGGGTAAAAAAAAAAAAAGCAAAAAAAGCAGAGTTAACACAATCGCTGAATGGAAGCAAAAAGGTGATGCTGATGGAGCACTCGTTAGTGCCACGTGAGACTTCAGTCAGATTGTACATCCTATGAGGGGAGCAGAGAGATGGTGTGGGGCCTTGAGATATGAGTGACCTGACTTGTGAATTCAATAAAATTCACAAAAAAACAAAAAACAACAGAGGCGTCAAACTATTCATTGCCACTTTCAGTTGAAGTATATTGTCAAATAAAACCAAAACAGTAACATATTGTGTATATATATTTTTTATTACAAATCTTAGCAGGGCAGCCGGTAGGCGAGTGGTTATCGCATCGATCCTCACAGTGCGGAGGTATTCGATTCCGGGTTCGATTCCAGCTCTGGCCTCTCTGTGTGGAGTTTGCATGTTCTCCTCGTGCCTGCGTGGGTTTTCTCCGGGTACTCCACATTCCCAAAAACATACATGGCAGGCTGATTGAACACTCCAAATTGTCCCTAGATGTGAGTGTGAGCGCGGATGGTTGTTCGTCTATGTGTGCCTTGTGATTGGCTGGCAACCGGTTCAGGGTGTCCCCCGCCTACAGCCCAAAGACGGCTGGGAGAGACTCCAGCACCCCCCCGCGACCCTTGTGAGGATAAGCGTATCAAAAAATGGATGTATATATGGATACAAAGCTTAGCGTTTAGTTCACTAGCCTAATGCTAATGCTAACACATATCGGGATACGCACACCTTTTGGCACATGATACTTGAAGACATATCATGCAGCAATGTCAAAATTCGCTTTACGTCCATTGATTGACCCCAACGTGGATCTCAAATCAGCTCTTCGTGCTTAAAAGGTAACCAACTGGTGACATCACAGACAACACCAACGAGGGCGAGGTTACCAAACTGTGACCTTGCAAACGACGTTGTGAGGTATTGATGCAGGCGCGCGCACACAAAGGCACGCACGCGCACAGCCTTCATTAGTTGGCGAGAAGCCCGCTGTCTGCTCCGCTCAACGGCGCAGACATCAAACTTCGGCCCCCCGGCCGGCTATTGCGGCACTTGATATCGAGAGAGCCGAGCAGGCGAGGTGTGAGAAGTGAGATAAATGGTGCGGTGAGGAGATGAAAGCCTCGTGGACAAACCATCCACCGCCCCAATAAAGATGCACTCGACAAGTTTGCCCCGCGGTCGTTCCGTATGTCTTTGTAAAGCCCAATTTCAGCCTTTCTTTCATCACTCCCGCGGCGCGATTACTCTTGGATTGGTTTCATTTTCCATTTATCGATTGTCTTGTCTTTTTAAAAGTTGCAAGTGCCGAGATGAGACAAAAATGATGTGAATCCTCCTCAGAGCCTTTTGGCGCTAACAGCCAAACTGAATCGTTAAACGGGTGCTTTCACACTCCCTTTGGTTAACTTTCGTGTTTAGCCAGAAAGCCGTCTGACCTTCATCTGAGCCGCATGGCAAATGAACCAATTAGATGTGTCCCCTTAGCGGCATCATGATGATGTAACCACATGGTAAGTGTCAGACCCGTAATTTTCCAAGCACATGTTCACTTCACTTAGGATCTCTTTTAAACGAGTGAAGAAGCATTATTTGCTCTTGTGGGGCGGCGGCATATGATGGAAAATTAATCAACGTTGACCTCCGCAGAAGTAGGGGGGTACTTGTGGAGGGCTAAAACAGCATCGGAGTAGGAACCATTTTGGTCAGATTAGACCTTCTGCATCTGGCAGAAAAGGGCTCCACGGTCTCAAACTTTCTTGCATCCATTGAATTGTTAATCTAAGAATATATAGACATCCAGTAAGATAAGATGAGATAAACTTTATTTGTCCCACACTGGGGAAATTTGCAGTCTACAGCAGCAAAATTGGGGGTGAAAGAAAAAAAAAACAAAGTGTTTCATTGCACAAAATAAATGTTTCAGAAAAGAACTGTACACGGTTTAATATAAGTGCAATATAAAATATAGCATTAGCAATATATTTGTAGAATAAATATAATAAATTAGCAATAGCATAGAAAACTAGTTTCACTATGTTACTGTTAGTATAGTTACTGTTAGTATAATATTGCAAGCATTAAAGGTAAACCAGTAAACGTTTCCTCAAAACTTTTCAATTGGTGCCGTGACCCGGATGCGGAAGGTCGGAATGTATTTGCCATTCATTTTAATGGGGGAAAAAAAAAAGATAATGTCAGCGTGGTTGTCAATGTTGGCTGTGTGTACCACTACACTACAGCTGACCTCGGAATTTAAAAAAGAACGCTCCCTAAAAATAGAACCGCGTGTATGCAAATGTAGAACCAGAAAAAAAATTCTTGTGTCTCGGCATGGAGGCGAAAAAAAAAAAATGTGTATGCAAATGTAGAACCAGAAAAAAATTCTTGTCTCGGCATGGAGGCAAAAAAAAAAGTTTACAATGGCAAAAAAAAAAAAAAAAAAAAAAAACAAAAAAACTAATAATGTATTCTCTCTTGCCAATTAATAAGCTGGAATGCCGCTGAGTCAGTGTAGGAAGACTTTTTAAATACAGAAGCGGATTTGCATATCAAAAAGCGCCGCCTGTCTGCGGAGCATTTCATCTTTAGCGTTAAATTTGCACTAACGGCATAGTTCATCCTCTCACAGCACTTCCGAAAATAAAGACTCCGGCAAATTTTTGCAGTCGGTCGTAATCCTCCCTTGAATGTGATCTTTGAATTTTCTTCTTTCCAGCTGTACGTCTCCGTGGAATTTGGCAGGAGGTGGCAGCTTGTGCACGACAACGTTGTCCCCAACAGATTCTACTGGTGAGTCAACAAATAGGCGCACGGAAATGCATACAATGCAACACCCCCCCCCCCCAAAAAAAATGGGAGCTAAATTTATTTTATTTGCTTACGGAGGGTTTTGTTTAGGTCAGGGATGGGCAACATTATGAGAAAAAAATTTACATTGTAATAACACCATTCACCTAGATGGCACACTTCACTTAGAAGCACTTCCAACTGTTCAATTGCTTTAGAGAAGAAGAATGAGATGCTGTCGGCCTTGATTGATTGTGTGGCATTTTAGAGTCACTCAACAGAAACTCTTTCAGTACAGATGAGGAGGCGGGATTCAACAAGTCAACATCATTGTTTCAAAGCAACGTGCAACAAAAAGTGTTTTCTCAAACGGCAGAGATATTTTAATGGTTTCTGGATAATTTGGGGCCACTGAGACGATTAATTGATTGCGAATGAATGCACTTTGACAGTCTCCGAAATGTAAAAACAACATTTTTTTTTTCTTCACAAGAAGCGTTGGCAGTTCATTTAAAGCACAGGTGTCAAACTCAAGGCCCGGGGGCCAGATCTGCCCCGCCACATCATTTTACGTGGCCTGCGAAAGCAAATCAAACACGTCAACTTCCATGACGCTTGCTGAAATCTGGACTAAAATTTCAAATTATCACTCGTAATAAATACGTAATAAATAGGTAATAAATCGATATTGTAAGCATTTTCTTGTTCCCAAACCCCTCGTTACAGTCAATAGTTGAATAAACCGTTATTCTTCCTCATAGGGTTTAAGTTCTTACGGCCCTCCAAGGGAAACAGGAACTAAAATGTGACCCGCAACAAAAATGGGTTTGATACTCCTGATTTAAAGTCTCGATCTGCTACTAGTGTTTATATCTCGGAACTGGATTCCGTACAACGGTGGGCTATTATGAAAAGGCATTCCCATCGCCTTTTCAGAGCTTGTGAGCCTGGTGGTCCAACTGTGATCCCGGCAGAGCACATCGAAAAAAGAACAAAAATGGACCCCTACAGTCGCCTTTCTCTTGTCGGACAGTGTGGTCCGTAAATGTGGGATGACTCACGCTGCAGCATCACATCCGCTCCAAATCGATCAATGTCTGTTCATCGGATGACATTTATCTGGAAAAAGTACAACATTGATTTTAAAAACCGGTGGGAAATACGACAAGATACAATGATGGCCGGCACTGCGAAGGAGTTTAGGGAGGACAAACTTGTTTTGGTAAATTATGTATTATTTAATTTTTTATTTGTTTGTTTTTGCATAATATACGAGGCATCTAGTTTACACATGAAGGTTAATATTTGATAACGTGAAGGCATTCAGCTCATGAAATATCGAATAATCGCATCCATACAGCCCGTGCCACGTTTTGGGTTTGATCGCTGATGAATATTCATTCCTGACCCGAGGCGTTGTTTGCACGCGTCGGAGCCTTTTATCAATGTAAATACCCGGATTCAAACGGCCCTGATCAATATTTCATCGAAAACGCCTTTTTATTGTTGTCAGTTTGAGAACCATCGAGAGGGAAGAGCTGACGACTTCCAGCTAAGCCCAAAGACGCCGTCGTGTTAAATGCAAACGGGCGCAAATTGTTTGCCTCCCGCCTGACAACTCTCTTCAAAGCCTTACCTTGAAGTGAGGCGTTGATGGTTGATGCTCATTTGCAGCCTCATGAAGTCAACAGGGGTCTTTGTTTGCGTCATTGGAATGGGGGTTTGAAATTAGGGTTTCGAGCCTGGATTTGGATTATAAAGCAAAGGACTGGGTTTTAGTTGAGGGGTTCAAGTTAAGGTTCAGGGAGTCAACGTTAGGGTTTTAAAGTTGGGTTTGAAGCCACCGTTTGATTTGAAAGTGGGGTTTGAAAGCAGCGTTCATGATTGAATTTAGGGTTTCAAACCACGGTCTGTGTTTTAAATCAGGGTTTAGGTTCAAAGAAGGGTGTTAAGTTATGGGTAGGGTTTCTAATTAAGGATTCAAACCAAGGTTAGGGTTTTAAATTAGGAGTTCAAGTTGGATTTGACACCAGAGTTTGGGTTCCAAAGTAGGGTTACAAGGCAGGTTTCGTGTTTCAAATAAGGAATTCAAGCCAAGGTTGGGGTTTCAAACGAGGGGTTCATGTCAGGGGTAAGGCTTCAAATTCTTAAATTTAGGGCTTAGGGTTTCCAAGGTTAGTTTCAAGCCAGACTGTGTTTTTTTTAAAACAGGGCTTTAAGGGAGGGTTGGGGTCTCAAATAAGGGCTTTACGTTTTTTTTAAGTGAGGTTTTAAGTCCGAGTTTGTATTTTTGGAAAGAATTTAAAGTCAAAGTTTGGGTTTCAAATGAGGCTTTCATCCCCATGTCCAAGTTTCAACCCTAAGTTCGAGCTTTAAAAAGTGTCAGAGTTCCAAAACGGTGTTTCCCGATATTTGTTGCTCTTCCCGAAGTCGAGCTTGATGAAGAGCCTGGTTTTTTTTTTTCTGTTCCATTTGATTTCTCCTCAGGAAATAAATTCAATCGGAACATTCCCATAAATTCCTTTTAACGTTGAAGTCCCTACGAAGGAATTACACTGCTGCATCCTGCCCCCCCCCTCACCCAGCCCCGACCCAACAAAGATTTACAAGAACGTTTTAACATACAGTAAATGCAGGTGTGTGCATGCGCGCGCGTGTGTATTAGTTATGGGCCTGGGGGCAGTTTAACATGGCCGGGGTTCCATCTCGGAGGAAAGGGGGGCTTGGGGGGGGGGGGCTGTTTGCTGATAGAATAGGATGAAGTATTGGACAGAAAGTCCATTAAAAGAGATGGAGCTGGCAAGCAATTACACAGTGCTGAGGGAGGCAGGACGCCGGCTCGTTATATTCGAGTCGTCGCGAGCGCACGCGCGCGATGGAAAATGAGAAGAAGCCGGCGCCGTGTCAAAACAGACGCTTATTAATACAACAAGTGGTCACCGCTGTCAGTCGCCGCATTAGCGACGGCGTGAAAAATCTCCCCTGAAAGCCCCGCGCAATGACTAAATACACCTTGGCCATAAAGCGCACTTCAGGTCACACGTCCGTCACTTTTATCGACGAGCCGCTTGTATTCGTGCTCCCGCAAGGACGCTCGTTATCGCGGAGAATCGTCAAAACATGACGGCTAAATATGGATCGCATAGCCGTTCCGGGGCATTATTTTTCCAACTCTGGCAGATTATTATACGCGTATTATCCATAATACAATAATGCATTATTATTACAGCCACCGGATGTTTGATTCATATCAGCAGAGGCTCTGGACACTACATTAGGTACAGCCACTCAATCTTATTGGTTTAAAATGATCCTGCCTTCACCGACTGCATAATGGAGTGGACCCCCTGCATACTTGTGGTCCATAGATTTTTTAACATTTTTTTGCCTTGCCTTGGTAGGTTGCAGTCACGGCCCGATACCCCCTCCCCGTATTTGAATTGTTGTCGTTTACGTCTCTTATTCGCGTGACTGTTGCCGGGGTTTCTTCTAGTCACACACTGTGCCCCTCCCTTATCGGAGCAAAGTTTGGGACTTTTATTCCCTTCCGCCTTGTGGGTTTTTTTTTTTTTTTCATCCAAGAGGGGATCATCAAGGCGCCGTTTGGCGATCCGTCAGGCTTCTCCATTTTTTTTTCTCCTCCTGTTGGTCGTTTTTTTTTTTTTTTTGGTGCTCTGTACTCGTGCATGCGCAATGACAATAAATTCCATTTTTAATATTTGTATTTGATTCTATTTGTTTGTTTTTTGGTGAGCCAACCCCTACTCTTTTTTTTGGGCGGGGGGGGCAGCCTCTTTTCAAGAATTTTTGTGGGATTAATTTATTTGCTCAACTCATTTATGATAGCCATCACTTATACACTGATTTGCTTTTAAAGTAAGGTTTCAAGACAGTTTTAAGGTTTCAAAGTAGGGTTCCGGCCAAGCCTAGGATTTCAGGTTAGGGTTTTGGTTAAAAATTTTACAATACTGATAAGTTATAACACTGACTTTTTCAAAGTAAGGTGTCAAGCCAGCTTTGAACGCCTTGTCTCCAACTGTATACATTATGCGCCTCATATTTAAAGTTGAAATCAGATTTTTTTTTTTTTAATGTATTTTTTTTTTTCGTATTAATCTCGTGTGACCAAAAAAAATGAAGCTCCAGAAAATTGATCGGCTTTCTCTTTCTGGTCACTTGAAGGGAGCTCTCGGTTGCGACGGCAAACAGCCTTGTCTATATTGCATTGTTCCCCATCTGGCATTACTTCCCTCATGGATTTGTTGTCACTCAGCTTACTTGCCTCAGAGATGAGCCGCATCTGGCAGCGAAAGCTCTCAGCCTCTTTTTGAATTAGTCATTAAGTGTTACGAGGCGGGAGGCGGAGGAGGACGCTTGATCGTGAACGCGATCGTGTTCGTGTACATGCTGCATCTCCTCTTCTCGTGGTCGAGGGGGCGGGGTGGGGGGGGGCGGGCAAATAACTGACCTTAGCTACTGACTACTTTACTTATATTAGTATGTAGGTTGGTGGTGTTTATACCAGTGAATAGATTGAAGTCGTCTTTGAGCTGTGTTGGCACGAACTTGTTGTTTTTCGTTCTGTTTCAGGTCCAGGTTGGGCTTGGACAAAGAGCAAGGAATGATCCACCTGGAGATCAACGTCTCTGATGGACGTCAGTACTCGGGCCAGCGTCTCTCTTAACGTGTCCATAAACTTTCATTTTCAATTCCTTGAAAATCTTACACTGGCTCCCTTGACGGAAATATTCGCTCTTGGCTCGGAATTAGCTTTATTAATTCATTTTTCAAAGGCCGGGCTGCCACTTGGCTCTTTCCTCGGCCGCGGTGCCGAGAGAAGGGCGGTCCTCTGAAGCCCAGTGTGTTAATGTCGTGTCCCCGGAGACGGCTCGTCGGGCTGACGCTAACGACCCGGGACAGCTCACGCCACTTTGTACAGGAGAGCTCATCTTGCTCGCCAAAAATTCTGCAGTTTCAAAATCCGGCAATGAGCGCAGCTAAAACCTTCATCGTAGCCCACACAAGCTTGTTTGTTTTCTTTTTTGTCTTTCCTCCCCCTTTGTTGTATTTTTAGCTCTCTTGTCTGGCTTTGCCCACAGGGTCGCAGTACATCACTTGCAAACTTCAAAATTGCTCAGAGGGAAACAAGGGCAAGCCTTTCCCCGGATTTATCATCCCCAACTCCCTGGTGGTGCAGGATGAATATGTTTTCATCCAGGTGGGTTTTTTTTTTTTTATTGCAAGGTCTGGCTTCATTAAAAGTCGATTAAAAGCCGTAAAAAGCGTCGCATTCAATTGCGTCTTAATGCACACTCGTGTTTTTCATTAAGTAAAAGGGGGCCATTATCCTGCAAGGGGGCGGCGGGTGGGGGTTGACGCGAGATGGAAAAATCACAGTGTTGTGTGTTTGAGCTCATCTCGGCGCAGCGTTCTAATCGGCCGGCGTCTTAGCGCAGCGTGACTTGTTTGACACGCGCCGTGAGCACTTAAAGACGCGCGAGGAAGTACTTCAACACGTGGCTCACGTGTGACGACCTGCGTTCTTTTTCTAGGTGCCAACAGGAGGCCAGTCCGTTCATTACGTGTCCTACAGAAGACACTCCTTCTACCCGGTCAAGCTTCCAAAGTACACTCTGCCAAAAGTAAGACGACATGAAGCAGTGTCTGGAGTGTTGAACCATTCCGGACTTAGTGTATATCAGGATGCTTTGATGTTTGCGCTCTCGCAGAGACGAGACTACAAAGGATCTGGGCTTGATCTGCCAAATCCGTTGAGGTTTCTTGTCGACGGGTTCCGATTCTCAACATGGACGGGTTTCCCCTGAACACTCCAACCTCCCCTGCCGTAAAAACAAGAGCAGTGCTAGCTTAGACAAGACACATGAAGGGCAGATTAGTCGATAGCTCAACCCAGGATTACTTCTGTGTCAACACCTCGACTGGTTCTTCATGCCGGCTTATACAAAATGGGTAAAATAAAAAAATGTACAGAGACGAATTTACCAATAGGCAAACTACGATAATTACAAATTATGTCAAGCAAAATGCCAATGTCATCGATGGAGCGCTTGCTAGCCTTGGGAGAATGAGTTTGAAATCTGATTGGTTCAAGAGCAGCTCCCCTTTGCTAATTTACTATCATATAAATTACATTGATTAGCACTCCTGATTCTCAAGGCTCGGGGGAGATTAGATTGACATGGCAACACCGAGAGGCTGGATTCTGATTGGATAAAACATCCCCAGCCGCATAACTGGAAGCGGTGCAGCCAAACGATATGCGACAAAATAAAGATAAGAAACTGTTGGACTGGTTCTGAAAAATGTCATTCAAAATATGTAAGGTTATGCGATCCAATATACTTTTTGGAGTGGCAAAGTCATACGATGTACTCCTGATTCTCCAAACTAAATTACGCGTGCGTGCGCCCCCTCATCTCCAACGGAGTCTTTTGAAGCAGAAAAGCTCATTTGCATTAGCGCTGTGTTCTGACACCATTTAGTGCAAAATAATGTTGTGCATTAAGAGGGTGGGTGTGAGGCGGGTGGTGGTGGGGGGGTGTCGGGTCAAGAGTGATTTGCAGTATTGCACATATTCATCCATCTTGGTCACAAACTGGAGGATGCGTATCACTGGACGTTGTTATTCTCAATTATCGTCAGTTATCAAGTGAGAAATCACAAGCGTGTGCCATGAACATTGTGCCTCCTCTTTTGACACTGGGGCCTTGTTACTTAGCAACCTGCACCTCCATTTAGGACTTGCAGATTATTAGCACCGATGACAACCAGGTGGTGGCGGCCATTCAAGACTGGCACCAGAACGACTCGTACAACCTGTACATGTCCGAGTCCAGGGGTCTCTTCTTCACGCTGATGCTGGAGGACGTGGTGAGCAGCGGAGGGCCGGAAGGCAACATCATGATCGACCTTTACGAGGTGGGCGGCACATAATATAGGAATACTCACCGTCATGTATTCTTTATCCTCTGCGAAGAACAACTAATATTTCTGCGGTTATAAGAGCGGTGACCGTTCCCATGTATCTGTCAATCAATCAATCATCGACTCATCCATGCATTTTCTAATGCGCTTTTCCTCACAAGGGTCACGGGCATGCTGGAGCCAATCCCAGCTGTCTTCGGGCAGTAGGCGGGGCACACCGTGAACGGAGGGCACACATAAACGAACAAACAACCGCGTTCACACTCCCACCTCGGGACGATTTAGAGTGTTCCAATAACCTGCCATGCATGTTTTTGGAATGTGGGACGAAACCGGGATACCCGGAGAAAAGCCACGCAGGCGGAGGGAGAACATGCAAACGCCACATAGGAAGGCCGGAGGTGAAATTGAACCCTGCACTTCGGCACTGTGAGGCTAACGTGCTAACCAGTCGACCATGCCGCATCAATCAATCAATCAATTTATATGAATACATCCCTATGTTTGTATTATACTGCCCCCATGTGGCCATGGCACACACACCCACGATTAGCTGGGGCTCAGTGTATCCAAAAGAAAAAACAAACTCTCTTCGTGATCCCAGTACGGGAGGCAAATAACAGGAGAAAAAAATAACTTTCCTAAAATACATTCCGGTTGAAGCGTCAACAAACAACAAGTCTGCCTTTGACAAGCATCCACCGACATCACAAGCATCTTTTCTTATTCTGCGCTGGTTTGGCAATAATGAAACAGATGCTGACGCATTGCAAGTTTTTACTGTGCCAGGTTTCTCTTATATAAGGAGAAAAGTCGGTTTGTGAAAGCGAGCAGGCACCAGCAGTAGCGGCAGCGCTTGTAGCTGGCAGGTTTGCAATCGGCATTTTCCCGGGATGTGTGTTGACAGAGTGAGGTCGCACATGACCGCGGACTGGATGTGTGTGTGTGTGTGTGTTGCAGCCCTGATTAATGCTTGTTTGCATTCCAACAACGGCTCGGCTGGGCATCGCCAGCATGTCATTCATTGAACACTCCGCCTGCAAATCATTTAGCTGCTGTGACTCAGCAGCATGAGAGTGTTAAACAGAAAAAAGAAAAAAAAAAAAGTGTCGACG